AGCTGTAGTCACAAGTCACAGAAAGTCGGCAATGATGTCATGCTGGACAAGAATCAGAGTCCGAATAACATTTTTTCATATTCGGACTCGAGTCCGAATAGTCACTTCGGTACACGGTAACCGGGCACCTAGCCTCAGTGTCTACGTACACGGTAACCAGCAACCGGGCACGTAGTCTTAATGTCATGTACACGGTAACCGGGCATGTAGCCTCAATATCTACGTACACGGTAACCGGCAACCAGGCATGTAGTCTCAGAGTCACGTACACGGTAACCGGGCAGTTCAGAACTCCCAAGTTCAGTTTTTGTCATCCGGTGTTGCCTTCATCCCCACCCCTCCCCCGACTGTACCTTTAAAAAAAATCAATCATCCCTACCATTTCGGAGCCCTATACTTCGCAGCGCACAGACTTGGAATGAACTTTGGTGACCTCAACGGGTACTCACAATATGATGCACACGCACAGGTTCACTGACTGGTCACGATGGCGAGCCCGACAAGATGCTTGTACAACTTTCTTTTTTTCCAACAAGTGACAACACAGGACAAATATTGATTCATTTTCATTCCGGTTACCGTGAACGTAGACACTGAGACTAAGTGCCCGGTTACAGTGTACGTAGATACTAAGACTAGGTGAGACTAGGTGCCCGGTTACCATGTACACGTAGATACTGAGACTACGTGCCCGGTTACCGTGTACGTAGACACTCCGTAATATAGACACTTCCATCTTTAGTGCCATTCGGTTGGCTATTGGCTATACTTAGATGTAGTCACGTGATCGGAGGGGTATCCTGGTCTGACGTCAAACAAGATGGGCGCCTTACCTAAAAATAGTTTGCGTCTTTCTACGTTTAATCGCATATGTATGTTCAACTATACGTGATGCCGGAAAATAGCCACTTGCAATCTTTTAACTCTAGTCCTGCGGGGTTAACCGGAAGAGGGCTCTTATCGATCGATGACCCACTTACGTCGCCTGCGGGCTTGTGCCGCGGGGCGCCGGGGTCAGGCACTGGTCACGCGAGCGTGCCGCGGCAGGTCAGGGAAACACCTCATCTTTTATAGCAAACTGATACGATCAATGAATAAGTGTTACAATCGCACGAATAATCCCATTATCCCCTCGTCGGTAGATCAGAGACGCTGAGATTAGAAGTTACACCAAATCGAATAACTTTTCCAGAGTTTTCCAGATTTCAGACCTATTATGAATAAACTTGCGAACAGCTGCTTATCAGCTATCGTTCGAAAGGGGAAAAAAATGGGATAATTTCCTAATATTTTTTTTATTCAGTTGCTCTCAAATGTCTCCCTCTGGTAGGACAATGGTTCAAAAACCACCAAATATGATTATTTACATCAGGAAACAACGTTTGGTGTAAAAGAATTAGATCGTTTGAAAAGTGAGGAAAGGTGTTTGCATTGAAAGATGAAAGTCCTATTTCCTGAATATCCTTTCGAGTCCCTCAAGTGTCTTACTGGGTCAAAATGCTCATATTTCATTGGATGAACATCTCAACCGACGCTCTGTTATCTCTACCAACGCCTCGCGTTGCAAAACAATGCAGTAAGTTTCAGATGGACACTCAGGCACAAGCAGATTGACGAACACACATTTTAGCACACAGATGCAGACCCCGCCCTAAACGAAATGCGTTGCCCGCGCGGGATGACGACTGATCAGGGACCAGCTGTGGAGCACCGCGCAGGATTGCGCTTATCGGCAAACATTTATCAGGGACCAGAATCTTAAGGGTTAACATCTTTAAAAATCAAGTGAAAATGCAAAATACAAAGAAAAGAAGTAGATCTCTGGATCTAAGCTACAAAAATATTTACCTTATGTTCATTATGAACTTGCATAGAGACTAGAGAGCGGATATCCCACAAGTTTACAGAATAATCGTCTGAGGAACAGCAGGTCCATTGCAGAGAATCTGGGTGAAGACGGACAGCAGTCACTTTATCACGATGGCCTGAGTAGCAACCAACGAAAGCTGGCGGTGCCACTGACTCACTAGATTTACCTAAGCCTGAGGTGGATGACACTCTTCCCAGAGTTAACGAAACGTCGTAAACGAGCACATCAGTTTTTGAGCCGAAGGCATAAAGACCCGACTCACTGCCGCTACTCACAGAACACAAGAACCAGTTTGGAGAACATGGTAATATGCAAGGTTCCATGTTTCCCGTTATCTGATTCTTTGAAAGTCCTAAAATAAAACAGGGTAAAGTTTACCAGCAGCAAGCCACGAATCAAAGACAGAGTAGTACCAGTCTAAATACACTGTACTGTAAATGAACGAAGACCAAGTACACTCAATGTACAATTTTTATCAAATTCATACGGAGTATTTTCGTTGGTGCGTTTGTTAAGAGTGCCCTGCCCCTGCCATCCCTTGTTTCGTGCAATAAATATTTCGTATTTTCATCGGGTCATAGACCTATGCATCGGGTCGACTTCAAACTCTCTGTTTCAAATTGGCTAATTATCTTATTTGAATCTTATTTAGAAATAATATATTAATATATCAGGAAGTCGTAACGTGAATTATAAAAATGACCTCTTTTTGCTCTTCATTTTATTCACACAATCATCACCCTAGATCTATAGCATGTGTTAGAGCATTAAAATATCTTGAGATTATCACAATTTTTAACATGAATCTTATTTATTATTTATTATCAAAACAATATGGCCAACATAACATTGTACAATAGGCCTACTAATACAGCTGTTATAAATATGATGAAAAGGGGTGACTTCAATTAGAACTTTAAGTAAAGTTATGCTGCACTGCTTCGAGCAAAAGGACGAGCACGAACCACTGCAGGTGAGATTTTATTGCGGTTATACCAAAGTCTACATAAATACTACCTTTGGTAATACTAAATTCAAACGAGTAGAAAGTGGGATGATTATGAAGGTTATATTATGCACTTTACTACACTACTCGAAGAGCAATTAATAATGTTATGAATAAGTACGATCCTTCCTCCAGAGAGGTCTGGGGGCCTTGGGAGAGGTTTGTTACAAACGCCTTTCTAGATACAATTTACAAAGGGTGTATTTACCAAATGGGTTACCCCTCAGGATGCGGGGCGGAGAGAACGGATATGTCTCCTTCAGTCTGTTTGCGCCCCCCCCCCCCCTTCTTTTTATAATGAACAAAAAAATTGAAGTTCCTTAAAAGTATAGGCCTATAACTTCTTGGCAAAACACAATTATTCACAGACAGCTTTCAATCATCTATCTTTACAATAATAGGCCTAAATCCAGGACATACAAGAAATACGATTAATTCAGACGCCCACCCTATTTGCAGCAAGTAATTAATTCAATCAATGCACGCCCAAAAATGCCGATTGAAATTATTGCTGTTCTACTTTCTACATGTATAATTTGGTCTCGTCTTGTGTCCCTTAAGGTGTGTTATGCCTTTCCTGGTTTACTATTCTTATTTATTGTATCTGCTCTTGACGCTGAGACTAAATCAGCACAGTCGTGATGGGGTTCGTGCAATTTGGCCAAGGCATTTAGCTTAGTCAAGATTTCAAGATTTCTGGGAGGACGCTGCAAAAGAGCAAATACGTCGGATCAGACCCTCAGCCCAACCACAGCTACAGCAGCATTTATATGACTATGAAGAGGACACTTCATCCTTGTTGTGATCATCATCATCCACTGCCAGATCTGCGACAGACATCGGCGATCATGGTACTCCATTCATTCCTTTGCTCGGATGCTCTAAAAAAAAAAGCTACATTTCCTTGATCTTTCCCTGTTACCCATTTGTTTAGGTTATCCAAATATGTTGTTCTGGGCCTTCCCCTGCATCGTTTGCCCTCAATTTACCAGTGAGAGCTAGGTGTTCAAGACCCTTATGTCTCTTTATGTGTCCTAAAAACTGCATTTGTCGTTTCCTGATTGTTTTTAACATTGAGCGACCCACGTGGGTTTCATCAAGCACTACCTCATTTGATTTCTTTTCCTTCCACGATACTCTTAGCAGTCTCCTAAGAAACCACATTTCTGTTGCTTCTATTTTATTTTCACCGTCTTTAGTGATTGTCCAGCATTCACAGCCATAATATAGAAGGGTTGACCAAACATAACATTTCAGAACTTTCATGTGAACATGTTTTGATAAGCAAGGAAAAAACGCGGGAGGTGACAGTTTACGGTTATATAAGATATCCTTATTTGGCGAAACGGAATGTCCCCACGGGTCACCTTTGACAATGGGAGTGACTACTCAGTCCCACTGATCAGCTACCGCCCATCTCAAACTGGACAGCCCCAGTCAGTAAGGTGCTGATCCGCCACGCCTGTTTGCTTCAAAGGGTGTATGGAGCAAGGACAAAAACCGAAAGGCAGACGTTAAATTCAGCACCAGGCAAAAAAAAAAAAAAAAAGAGTAAAACTAACCCCATGGAAACTGGGGACCTGGAATGTTAGAACAATGACAACCGAAATGGACACTACTAATTACTAACCTGGAGAAAACAGAGAACATTAGAAAGACAGCAATCATAGAGAGGGAGCCCACGACTCAATGTAGACATCACTGCCCTGCAAGAGGCAAGGCTTGCTAACTCTGGTACCATCAGGGAAAGAAACTACACATTCTTCTGGAACGTTCTTGGGGAAGACGAGAAGAGAACCCATGGTGTGGGCTTTGCAGTACACAACAGATTGCTGAACAGGATCATCAGCCCCCAAAACTGGAAAGGCTCATTTCATCAGCGCCTACGCCCCAACCCTAACAACAGAAAACGAGAGAAAAGACCAGTTTTATGAGGAACTTCAGGGTGCAATCAACAACGTCCAGTTTTTTATGGGCGACTTCCATGCAAGAGTAGGTACTGAAAACAAAGTATGGCCCACCTGCCTTGGACCTTTCGGGCTGGGAAATATCAATGAGAATAGCCAGAGAATCTTAGAATTCTGCACAAACAACAACCTTCGCATCACTAACACATTCTACTGTGGCAAAGATAGACACAAGGTTTCTTGGTCTCATCCAAGATCACGCCATTGGCACCAAATCTACTTCGTCATTGTCAGAAAGAAAGACGCCGAGTGGCAAAGCAAACAAGATCATTCTACACTGCAGACTGCAACACAGACTACCTTTTAGTTATAAGATAGTCACAAAGAAAACACCAAGAGCTGAAAAACAGAAGAAACCAAAGATCAACATAAGAAATACGAAAGACCCAGTGTTAAAGGCAAAATTTCAAGAACACGTTAAAGAACAGCTCGGACATCGAGATAGCTCATCCCCAGACAACATGTGGAGTAGCATGAAATCAACAATTTATAATTCTGCGTCAATTACTTTTGGAATAGAAAGAGCTTACAAGGAGGACTGGGTTGAAGCCAGTGCATCAACACTCGCACCACTACTCGAGAAAACGCGTAAGATCCTGATAGAACATTACACAAATTAAACAGAAAGTACAAAACAACAATACGTGCTGCTAAATGCAAACTTCAAAAGGAAACCAGGCAGTGTGCCAATCAGTACTGGGACAAATTATGCTCAGAAATCCAACAGGCAAGCGTTACAGGTAACATCAGGAAAATGTATGAAAAGATCAGAGTTGCTATTGGATCAACAACAAACAAAGTGGTACCTCTAAAATCTGCGACAGATGAACAGCTAGCAGACAATAAGAAACAAATGGAAAGATGGGTGGAACATTATTCTGACTTATACTCAGAGGAGCGACATGTTGATAGGCAGCTGCATGGGGCCATTCCTCAGCTCTCCGAAATGTCAGAACTTGATACAACACCAACAGAAGAAAAACTCTCTTCTGCAATCGATGAGCTTGCTTGCGGAAAGGCAGCAGCAAATGACAACATATCTGCTGAAGTGCTGAAAGAGAACAAAGAGACCCTCCTCCCATCATTAATATCTCTACAAGCTACTAACGACTAGTTGGCGGAAAGCAGAAATTCCTCATGACATGAGAGATGCCAAAATCACCACACTCTACAAAACCAAAGGAGATTGGAACAACTACAGAGAGATCTCACTGCTTAGCGTCACTGGAAAAGCTTTCGAAAGGATCACCCTAAGGCGACTTCAGAAACTAGCAGAAAGAGTCCTGCCAGAGAGCCAATGCGGTTTCAGATCAAACTACTCAACAATGGACATGATTTTCTCTATTCGTCAGCTACAAGAAAAATGCAGGGAGCAACAACTGCCATTACATACTGCGTTTGTCGATCTGACAAAGGCTTTCGATACAGTCATGAGATCAGGACGGTAGATGGTGCTTGGAAAAATTGGCTGTCCCCTAATACTGCTAAAGCTCATCATCTCATTCCACGAAGATATGAAGGCCACCATTCAGTTTGATGATTCAACATCAAACAGCTTCAACATCTAGAGCGGAGTAAAGCAAGGTTGTGTCTTTAGCTCCAACCGTTTTAGCACTAATTTTGCTGTCTTACTGCAACACACATTCAAAGAGTCACCGGGGGATGTCTTCCTCCACTGGAAAACTGACGGGTCGCTCTTTAATCTTGCTCGACCCCAGGCCAAGATCAACAAAACAACAATACGAGACCTTCTCTTCGCCGATGATGCTGCTCTTGTTGCTCACAGTGAATCAACCCTACAAACAATGATGGACCGCCTATCATTCAACAGCATGCAAGGTCTTTAGCTTGGTAATCAGAGTTAATAAAACAGTCATCCTTACTCAAGAAGGCCATATGGCGGAACGACTAGGAACTTGAGACAGTGGACACGTTTTGTTATCTGGGGTCTACCATTAGCTCTACTACAACCCTTGATGATGAGATCAACATCAGGAAAGGGAAAGCAGTAGGCTAACAACTTTTGGAAGGCTGACAAAACGAGCATGGGAAAACAAAAGATTAACCATCAAAACAAGGATCAGGATGTACGAACCATGTTTCCTCAGCACGCTCCTTTATGGATCTGAGACATGGACCTCGTATAGCAGGCACGAAAAGCGCCTCGACGTTTTCCATCTCAGATACTGCTGCAAGATCTTAGGCATTTCGTGGCGTGACAAGGTTACAAATGTTGAAGAGTTGGCATTGGCAAGCCCCCAGAGCATGACAACTATCCTGTG